TGTATGTCTGTATGTCTGCATGTCTGCATGTATGTATGTATGTATGTATGTATACGCTATGTGTATGTGTACATATGAACACTACATGTACACATGCATGCATGCATGCATGCATGCATGCATGCATGCAGGCGTGCGCACTTATATACATGCATTTACCAGAGACCTTCTGCCTATATCGCTGTTTCAGGACAGTCAGGGTACCTTCGCACTACTTCTTCTGACCCCTGCATTACTCTTTCAAGTCAACCGGAGGTTTAGGCTTTGGCTTTGGGTTTTCAGACAAAACCTTTGACTTTCACTTCTGTTCACTCTCGCAGAGGTTCAATCCGAAGCCCTGGCCCTAGCTCTTGTAGTAACTCTCTAATACGGGGCTAAAGCCCTGAACCTTAAGCTACAACTCAAAAAGAACACGTACAACTCGACATCCCGAAACCCCGAAGACACGAACCTTTAGCTGTAAAGCCCGACATAGCACCAACCTTTGATCAGGCCTTTGTTGGTGGAGCCCGTGTAAGACCCCGAAAGCAACAACACATCACAACAAGGTGCAACAAGTTCAGGTTTCACGCGGGGATCAAGGGGCTGCCCCGCACCTTGAGCCTTCAACTCTACCACATCGCGTCCCAAAACGCCAAAGGCCGTAAATCTGAACCCCTAGTCAGCAACGGTTAGCAGCTTTTTCTGCAGCCGCGTTTGTAAAACACTTATTGTATCCCTTCAACGAACCCGCAGCCTTACAAAAAGCACAAGACATGCTGGTCCGATCGCCTTCCCTGGCTGGTCGGTGTCATACGGATGACAGGGTCGGCGAATCGCAGCGCAACGGACAAAGCTCACGATGTCTGCTTGCTTTGTGGCATTGAGGTTGTGTATAGTCTCTTTCGGAGGCCTCCAGGCCTCCCCTCCCCCTTCCCTCGTCCCCGCATATCGCCGATGCTCTCCCGCCCTCCCCCCAGACCGAAAAAGGTTAAAGGGACAAAACACAAGTAAACAAAAAAGCGCTCAATATTAACTTGTTAAAACTGTTTAGTTGAAGAAACCATCGAAGCGACGTTCAACTGCATAGTAAGAGGCGTTGGTTCTCAGTACGGGTCCCAGTGCCACCGACGACAACAACAACGGCAAATGAGGAACAAGCTGATGCGGCTGCTGCTGCTGCTGTGGTCCACCTTGTTCTACTTCTGCTAGCGAGGACGACTACTACCACCGCTACGCCCGTGACAACGACTACTACCACTTCATCTGCAACAGCAGCAACACCACCGCCAACAACATCACCGCCGTCATAATCGCCATCACCGTCATCAGCTCATCAGTATCGACGACGAGCACGACCAACAACCAATGCACCACAACAACAACAACAGCAGCAACAACAACAACAACATCATCAACATCAATATCAACATCAACATCAGCATCAACATCACCATCAGCATCAGCATCAGCATCAACATCAACA